GTTTATATTTGCTTGTTTTTACAAGCTCAGTGTAGAAGACCACAGGCGAAGGACAATACACAGGATGGTGATTCCCCACCACTTAGTTATTCCATGTCCAAGGAATGTTTTCCGATAAAGACGCAGACAATTTAGAGACCTATTGCCACCTGTGGACTTGGCATGCCTATGAATGTGCTTGACCATGTACTGGATCTTTTTGCTAAAAACAAGGTGGTGTTGATGTAATTTTTGTCCTACATAGCCTAAGAACATGTAAGAATTCTTTTTCTATTCACAATATCTAAAAAAAAAAAACAAGAAACACAGCTGTGATATTATGGCCTGTCCTATAAAAAGACTTATTAGGAGAGGTTTTCAGGCAGATTTTTATTCCTGATGCAATAATTAGATAAACAAGGTCAAATAAGTAATACAGCATCATAACATCAAGCATCAAGCCACAGCCAGATATACTTTATTCAGTCTAAAATGTAATTTGGTTCATGTTAGTGGCTTCAAAAATGCAAATGTCTGCATTGTGCATGCCTTTATGCTGCATAAACAGAGGGTGGCTCACACTCCTCTGCCCAGTAATCAAATTTGCCAGCAAATCTTTTAAAGTATCTGCAACCTCTTGATGTTGTGACTCTTAGTGGGTCCAAGATAAAATCCTGCTGTGGGGGAGTTTGAGCATTTAAAGTAAAAGGAGTTTAATTGTATTGCTGTTTTGCTTTACATGGCCTTATATTTGATTGAGAAGAAACATGATAAATGAACATTTTCTGTGATTTGTTCCACTTTGATTGGATTAATGCAGTAAATGTGAGACACCTGGTGCCATCATTTTCTATTTATTATTTTTAAATCATGTTTTGGAATGTGTGACAGTCATTTTAAGGACAACTGAAAGGTGAATCAACCCATGGACGTAATTTTCACTTTAGAAGTGGGGGGGACACGGGGCTGGGGGGTATCTTTACAGTATGTTCTCATGGGAAGCAGGCTTCAACACAAATGGTTGTTTTCTGCTTGGTCCTAGAGCTCAACCAGTGTCAATTTAATATAGTGTAATATTGATTTTGGATGGTAAAAAGTGAAGGGGTCAAAACTTGACTTTGGAAAAAGTGGGGGGGACATGTCCCCCCTGTCCCCCCCCCAAAATTACGTCCATGAATCAACCTAAATGTAACCAGAAATATCATCACCACCATCCCCCAGCATGTGTAGAGAACAGGGTTTTGCTGATCACCTCAGACACTTTTACTCTCTTTCTCCAGTAAATACTCTGTAGAGGTGCTTGTTTGAACTCAGGATGAACGTTATTACTCCCGACTTAACAGAATTTCAAACGCTGCATTGAGAGGGCAATCCTAGTCTCTGTCAGGATTATCCAGATAGTCACGATATGAAGTGAGTGAGCTCTGGGAGGCAGCCGAGGATGTGCAAAGTCTGCTGCATTATCTGCGGCGGTACAGTGGAGGGGGAGAGAGATCACCCGGAGAATGAATGGGTGCGCCAGCGTGAGATCTCTCATATATCTAAGCTTCCCTCATTACCCCACTTCTTGAGGGTAATGAACTCACAGCTGGATCCTCTTGGACTTGTCCATTCTGTCATGATATGGAGTGAGGTTCGGACCCAAATGCAGGTGAGTGACCTCTGGGAGGCAGCCGAGCACGTTCACAGTTATAGTAGACCCATTAGTTGTCACGCTGGTGTGTGAAATTTGTTCTCCACATTTGACCCATCCCCTGGAGGAGCAGTGAGCTACAGACACAGCCATGCTCGGGAAGCATTTGGTCATTTAATCCCTCAGATGAACCCCTAATGCTGAGTGTCAAGCAAGGAGGCATTGGTTCCCATTTTTTCTTAAGTCTTTGGTATGACCCGACCGTGGATTTGAATCCATGATCTCCCAGTCTCAGGGCGGACACTCATACTACTAGGTCACTGAGCTTGTAGTCTTTATTTTAAAGCCACGTCAGGACTGAGAAACACACAGGAGGAGCAATGAGCTACCACAACAGACCCATGACGAAGAAAAACACAGACAAGGTTTAACTACACGAGGGAAATCAGGAGCGAGAGAGTGAGAAACAAGTGTAATCAGTTAACATGGACAAGGGAATACACGACCAAACACAACCCTAAACAGGCGGATGAGTGGGGTACAAAACCATAACACAGAAAACAAGCTAAGCTTTAGTCCAAGAGGTCCTATTAGGGTTAGGTTTGTCACAGGTAAGGAAAGTCAACTACACTGAAGTGTGTTAACTCAAGCTGTTCTGAGACACTTTTGGCTGAGCAGTACTGTTGGGAAAAGAGCTTTAGAGAGTTACATATGCAAGAAAGCATTAAAAGCATCGCCTTTAACGCTCCTTTACCAAATCTGAAATACAAACTAGCTTTCAAACACAAATATGGTCCCAGAACTCGCACCCCTTGTGTCAGCTATCATCCCTAGACCACATCTGTCTGATACTAGAACCTGCATTTCCAGACTAAACAAAAGATCGCTAAACACCGGTTGCTGTTGGTGCACTGGTTGGTGAAACAGACAAATGGATGGTCCAATCGTTGGTTTTGGACTGAGCCGGACTATTGGCTGAGGTTTTTAGGCAAATGCGAGAGAACCACTTCATTGATTTTTTTAAATTTTCTAAATATATTTATAGCTACATTATGTTGTAACATTGTTAAGAGGCAAGAAGAAAAATATTTTAAGCTAACTCATTTCTAGATTGGCCATTGTAACTTCAAATTTTGTTTGTAATTAAAACAATATAGCAACAATTCAGTTCAAATTACGTTAGATACAGAAGCATTTCAATAAGTTTCAAAATTTAATTATGTTGCAAAAAATTCTTTGATATCATAGTTATCTATATTAATAACAACATTAGAGTATTTATATGGTGTCTCTTTTCATCTCTATAAATGCATTAATCCTGTTGTGGTTCCACATCATGCATTAGTCTAAATGTTCACAAAACATCTGTACTTATTAATGCTTAGGCTATGCCTCAGCAGGAGAGAAGAAAGCTAGCTGTCACACAGTCCGGTGACATGCGCACTGACCAACATCTAAGTTGATCCGAGTTGATCTAATTGTAATAAGCCTTTTTCCTAGTTTACACGTACGTTAGAAACACAACCTCTCAAATAAAGTTTGATCCACTCCACACAGTAGTAGTACATGCACGCTTTCATGTTGGCATTCTTTCGGTTAGCTTATAGCAACACAAATAGTAAACAAATGCTGGCGTGAGTAAAGCAGACAGAATTGAAACAGGATATGCACAATGGCTGAAGGAATGGACAACAACAACGCTGGAAAAAACTTGGGTTTCCAGAACTATGCTGCATAAGACTCCTTCATGCTATATTGCTATTGCATTATCTGGGTGCTTCAGCCAAATCAGAACCAGTTCGCCTTCAACCAGACTAAGACATTTACATGCATTAAAAACAATGTATGTCTTTTTTTGGCAATACTTTGGTTTTCTGATGTGTACGTAAACACACTGATAGTGGCACTGGTTCCCCCCTTGACCTACCCTAGAGCCACCTCTGTTTATTCTGGACACATTATATCATATATTTTGTTCTTCACTTTTCATGTGCTTTTGTAGGATAAGCTCAGTCTGTTTTGTATTTAAGTCAAGAATTAGCTTAATTAGCGCGCTGCAGGTTAATTACAACCTTATGGAGAGATAAAATAGACCAAAACCCTATAGAATCTGTGTAAACTCAGTGGGCTCGTCTCTGTAATTGGACCATAAATTCATGTGGTCAAATGAATGTGCAGCTGCTGTGTGTGTGTGTGTGTGTGTGTGTGTGTGTGTGTGTGTGTGTGTGTGTGTGTGTGTGTGTGTGTGTGTGTGTGTGTGTGTGTGTGTGTGTGTGTGTGTGTGTGTGTGTGTGTGTGTGTGATAGGGAATCCTCCAGCTTAAAGTTTGGGACGCCTGTGTCTCCACTCATCATCACGCCCATCCTCATCATCACTATCATCGCGCCCCTCCTCCCCACCTCCACGCACTGTTTTCTCAGATTTATTCACGTGCAGCTCGCGCCCGCCTCACTCAGACATTCTGTCGCCAGCGCCGTGACGTCACCTGCACCGAAGCGCCTCCTCCGTTTAGCGTTCCCGTCCGCCTGTCCTCAAGATAATCTAGTCCCGTTCTCCGTGGAAACACTGAACTTGAGCAAGGAGCTGGAAATTTGGTTCCTTAAAGGAAATCACACCAAGGAAAGCCGTAAAAACCTCTCGTGTCCTCCTGTTTAATAAAACGATTGCAATATAATGATTTGAGGCATATTTTAGGCATTTTATTATAATTTAGAGCTTTTGTAGACGAGAATTAAATTCTGTATATCCACCCATCCATCCATTTTGCTCTATCTGTTTTGGTATATTGCATCACTCTTTGCAATAGCCAAATACTCTTGACTATTTTGTAGACCATTGATAAGATGTGCAGAAATCATGCATGAAACAAGTTCTTGGCACTTTTCCTCAGGTGGACCAAGAGAATAATGCATTTGATTTGATATATAACATAAACAATAATAATGCAGCTTGTGTTTTAACAACTTATAATATATTTTCTATTTAATCATGATCTAAGACATTTTGCGGATTAAAGTGATGAAGTTCATTAAGCACGTGAGTTTCTATAGTTACAAGCATTTACTCTTATCAGAACTTCTGGTAAATGAGTGAAAAAGTCATTGTTTTAGTTAAATAATCCATCTCCACACACAATTAATGTTGACGATCGTGTGTTTAAAAAAAAGAAAAAAAGTAGGTCTCGGTGTTGTCTCAGGCAGCATCCAGCGGAGTGATACTGGCGCTCGGCGGAGGGTGAGACGGCTTGGCGACTGACTGACGCCAGGTCGAGCAGACTCAACTGCGGCTGCAGGCACGCGCAGGAGGGGCCACCGCTCACAGAAACAGTACGCGAGGCAGCAAAGGTACTGTAAAGTTTTTATTTTCCTTTAACATGATACTTTTTCATATGTTCTTCACCTGTTTTTTTTGTCATGACACTGCATAGCTTTGTTTTCAAGGAAGTAGTCCAGAACGGTCGCGAGCTCAGCAGAATAATTTAGGAGGCTTCAAACTTTTTTTCTCCTTTTACTCACATCCAACCTGGAGAGACTTTTAAGCATTGTGCAGTTTTTTAAATCTTTTTATTCGCACAAGGGAAAACTCTACGTGTTATTCTGACAATTTG